ATGTCAACGTCATGCACAATTAGTGAATCAATCGACGAAACTTTTGCAGTCAGTGGTATCACCATGGCCATTCATGAAATGGGGGATGGACATAGTTGGTCCCTTACCATAAGGTCCCGTGCAAGTAATATTTCTTTTGGTTTTGACTGACTATTTCACTAAATGGGTTGAAGTAGGTGCTTATAAAAATATTGGAGAGGGAGAAGTGATTTATTTCATATGGGATCACATCGTCCGTTGGGAGTACCAAAAGAAATTGCTTGTGACAATGGGCCGTAATTTATAGGTTTCAAAGTCACAAAGTTTTTGGAAGGATTGAAGATCAAACGAATTACATCTTTTCAGTACCATCCAAGTACTAACAGACAAGCAGAGTCGACCAACAAGATAATAATCCAAAATCTTAAAAATAAATTAGAAGAAACTAAAGGCAATTGGCTAGATGAGCTACTAGGTGTGTTATGGGCATATCGAATAATGGCAAAATCGAGCACTTGTGAAACTCCATTTTCACTTGTATACGGTGTGAAAGCTTTGAGCCCGTTGGAAATTGGAGAACAAACCATAAGGTATTCTCACGCAAATAAGGAGGCAAATAATGAAGCAATGCTGATTAGGTTGGATCTGTTCGAAGAACACCGAAATATGGCGTATGTGAGAATGGTGGCACAAAAGCAAATAATACAAAGATATTACAACCGTAGATCAAATATTCGATATTTCAAAGCCGGAGACTTATTTTTTAGAAAAGTAACTCAAAATACTCGAGAAGTTAATATTGGGAAGCTTAGACCAACATGGGAAAGACCTTACAGATTTAAGCTATAACCAGTAAATGTTCATATCAATTGGAGAATCAAGACGGAGTTAATTGCCATACAATTAGAACGTAACTCACCTCAAAATGTATTACTGTTGAAGATCCTTGTTAATTCTGAAAGTATGTGCTGCACTATTTCTCCTTCGACCAGTTTTTGTCTAGATTGGGTTTTTCTGGCAAGGTTTTAATGAGGCAGCAACACAAATCATATTATGAGAAAATGATCATCAAAGATAATAAGATATCCAGTGTTTGAATTCTCATACTTAATATCCGAACACTGGGGGGGGGGGGA